TATAAAAATATTGTTGAATATCACTAGTGAGCATCAAAAATATGTCATAGAACTCAAAAATCAAGTCGATGATATTGTAGCACAACTAAAAGATATACTGTCCGAGACAGATATACCAAAGAGCTCAGAAATGAGTTTTCCAAATCAATACCAAACATGGACAGCTGGAAAGTACTAATGGACCCAGACGTGACAACATACCAACTGATAATAAAGGAGACTCCATTTCTATATCATCAACCAAGAAAGTTATGATACATGGAGATAAAAGAGATATCAAAACAATCAGTATCATAGAACAAAAAGATAAAATCCCTTTAGATCCAAAAGAAGAAAAATATGCCGAAATAGTCAAAATTGCTCATGAAATAAAAATGAGTGATTCATCATTCATTTCTCCGGGAAATAATATTTATCCCAGAATAATAGTCATGGAAGGAGGAGACCCTTCATTTATAAAAATTATAGTAGACTATGGATTCATGGTTTTGATATATCCAGGAAAAGATTTGATTGAAATTTCGAAATTTGATGACATATTCATTAAAGAAGTTTCCAGATTTGCCAAGGGAAGGAAAATATATTTGAAATTTTATTCAATAAGTCCAGAATATGATGGAGTTGTTTATTATCCAATTGAACACATAATCTCAATTGGATATGTTGCAGCCAATTTCCAAATAGATGTTACAAAAAATAATAGAAAAGTTTTAATAGTTACAAAATCATGGATCAGACATAGAAGAGCACTTGAAATTAAAGTCATTTACAAAATTGTCAAAAATCTGTTTGATAAAAAATTCTCATGCTTGTACCAATATGAAAATTGGATATTGGTATCCAATGGAGGATATGAAAAATCAGAAATTTTAAAAGACTATATTATAAGATTCGATATACATCAATTTCCAAGATGTCCTACCACTATAAAAGAATCATGCCACCTAAGGGAGTGCCCCAACTGCATGTGAAGAAATGAAAAAAGAGAACAATAATAGAGCACCATTGACAAAAGTGTACAGCTGCATGTGAGGACATTGAGGATAAAGAGCAATAATAGAAAAAGATGCTCTTTGGATAAAAAATTGAAGCAACATGTGAAGATGTAGGCCCAAAGAGGAAAATAATAGAAAGGCAAGTGTGCCTTGCTGATGTACTCAATAATATAATAGAGTCTCATAAACTTCTATAAATAGAGACATTGTTATAGATAAAAATCATCCCATCTTATCTTGAAATCTCGAGTCGTAAGCAATAGTTACTCAAAAAATCATTCCCAGTTTGAAAAACCAGTTTTTCTGGAAATCCCTTTGTACCAAATAGAAATCTTGTATAAATCCTGAAAGAAATAAAACTCTAATATTTTGACATGAATATAAGTTTCTAAATCTTTATTCCAATAGATTCTTGAAAGATTTCATAAAAAGTTTCCTTCTTATTTTAGCAAAAAGAAAGTTTTTTTTTAACAGAAGTTTAGAATTATATTCTTTAAAAGTTGATACAATGAGAGCAAGTAGTTGAAATAGTAACAATTCCATGAAGGTAGGAGGCCGTTGAAGGAAGCAGTTTACTGATTCAGAGCTCGAAGGTCACTCGGTTCTACGAATAAAAGTCCAAATCAAACCTAAAGTAAAACTATTAAACTTTTGCTAAAACTAGAATGAGTCTTTTTAAGATCTTAACGAATCGTAAGGATTAATTGGTGATTATGAATAAATGTCAGGATATACAATTGAAGGATTAGATAATCTATTAGAAAAAATGTTAGAAAAAATAAAGAATATTATCTCTCAATTAGAAAATATAAATTTATCATTTGAAGAATATAGCATTTTAATTAGAAAATATGAAATATATGTTGCAGATTATTCTTATTTATTAGATCATAAAATGAATTTATATTCAATATTCAAAGTAGAAGATGAAATGTTTAAAAGATTAGGATATATGTTGCAATATAGAAAGAATCATTTCATTAAGGGTAATATAGACCTTTCAACAAAAAGGAATAGTGATAGGCCAAATAGAAAGATCTCCCCACATCATTGTGTGATTAATTTCATTGTACTTGTTAACGGATATTTGGTATAGCATAGTCTTCTTCAACACGTGGAAATTGAGATACATTGTACTCTTGGTTGGTGCACAACTTTAATTTTAAAAGGTTGAACCCGAATTTTGAGGGCCCCCACTGCCTCGTCCCGTTCATAGAGCTTTGTGAGGGAGGTAGATCGCGAGATGTGTCCCAGCACGCTAGGGAACAAGAGCTGCCTGTACACTGCGCCTAGAACACAACTTTAATTTTAGATACGATCATGGGTGGAGCCAAGTTTCAATTTCAATGGGGTCAAATTTAGTCCATAATTGGCCTCAATTAAATTAAATTTTATTTTTCTCTTTCATTTTTTTAACTACAAAGTCTTCTACAAAATAGTATTATACGTAAAATGAAATTTTTTCATTCTTTTTCAATAATCCATTCTCTAAAAAGCACTATTCCACCCATTAAACATGGGCAATATCTTTATTATTAATTTCATTTAGTGCATTCAATATACGTATTGAAACTTTCATTTTCCTACTACTTGATTTCTTTATGACTTTTTAATTTTATCGACTTACATAAATGTCTTATCTAGGCTTTGAACTGCGATACACAGTACAAGTCTTAAAAATGATGAAAATGAGAGAAATATACCATAGTGCTGATTTTTGATACCCAATGAATCCCTGGCTATAATGTAAACGTCGAATTGAATTTCATAAGGCATTAGCCAATGAGTGAAATTGTTACCAATAACCAAGTCCAAAGACTCGATCCAAAAATAACGTGGACCGTTGGAGTAGCTTAAGAAATTAATGCTACTCGTGGTCCATCTATATTTACCCATTGGTTGGTTTTGAATCTTGGTCTATTTAACCCTATTATTAGCCCAACTAAAGTCTAACATGTTCCTATATGTGTGTTTTTTCTTGCCCTAGCCGTGTGTGTGATTTGTGTATGACATTAGGGAAAAACTTGGCTACCTCTTTGAGTGGAAATTGGTTGCCTTTGTGGAGAGAAAAGTCGGTGACTTCTTTGTGTATTTTGGTCTTTTCTCTTGCTTTTTCCGTTATTTTTCTAGTGCCTCGAATCAACACCATTATCTTATTCCTCATGGGTGAGATTGAGAAACAACCGAGGTTAATATATTGATTGTGGGTTAAAGCTGTTTGAATTAGATGTTTGGTAGAAAAAGATAATGTGAAACTGAACCCGAAAATTACCGTTTTCGAATATCTTGGAGCGAGCTTCCACGAAAATTGGTATCAGAGCTCCTAGGTGGTGGTTTGGCGCCAAAACTAACTAAAAATGGACCAAAAGGTTGGTAGAATCGAATTAGAAAACAAATAAAAAAAGTGTCTATAAAAATCTAAAAAGCAAGGCTATTTTCTTGATTTTTAGCCAAGCCAAAAGGAGTTTGGTGAAATGAAGACCACCGATGCAACGTACAGGTGGAGGCACACCAGGGTGGGCAACATGTAAAGAAGTGTGGTGGCAAGTGAGGACTCTAGCAGCTTATGCGGCAAAATTTGACAACGATTTCTTTTGACAATTTGTTCTTAACATTTTTTCTAACAATTTGGTGTGTTAATTTTTAGTTTTGGGTTATATAGCGAAGTCTGGACAATTTTGCCCTTTGCACATTTGGGATTTGATCATGGTTGATTGATTTTTGCAATTGTTGGAAACTTTATGACGAATAGTGGTGGCCCTAAAGTAGTAAATTCCCATCTCTCATTATGGACTCAAATTGGTCAGCTATGATATATTAGCTTATAACATTTAAATTCCAGCATTAGTGACTCCTTGCATGGGGTGACAATATGATTGGGATTACCGTGTGTGGTAACCGTTGCTTGTGTTAGAATTTAGGAATTATTAGCCATATTTGTAGTGTTGGTTTTGACTACAAGTTGATAATTATTTTTGTGCTTTAATTGTCATTTAGTCACCGTGTGAGACTGTATTGTGTGAGAATTTGAATTCTTGTTGACATACCTTCGTGTTGTATTGATTATTTTGTTAAAATACTTAGACTTGAACCGTTTGAACATTACCTCGATACTAAATCTCAAATCTCACGAAATTTTGGAAATCTAAAACAATGTATCCTGCTGCCTTAAAATTACTTTTGTGATTTTTTTTTACAATCTGGTTGTTTAATTTTTTTTTTTAAATCTCTTCACATTTCAAAATTGAAATTTTCAATGGAAAAAGATATATATTTTTTTTTCAATTTAGTAACAAAATATGAAGATGATTTTAGCTCAATAAAAAGTTTCAAAAGCCATAAATGACAAATTTCCTACAAACTTAACAGAAGCAAAAAATGAAGAATATGATGAATTTGCTTACGCTTCAATCATTTTATACATATTTGACACCGTTTTGAGAAAGTTGAAAATTTTGATTTTATTGAAGAACTTTGAAAAAATTGGGAGACTTATATATCTGCTTAAATCTACTCCTAATAAATTGTATCAATTCGAAAGATTTTTCAGTTTTAAAATATTAAATATGGTGGGAGACCCTAACACCGGAAATTGTCATTGATTCTCTTAAAAGTAAAGAGACGGAGATAAAGCTGAGAAAAATGATAAGATGAGTGATGGGTTAAATATGATGAAGAGCATAATGAAGTTTAAGCAAATGAATTTAGGTATACTTAAAATAGTAGTGATTCGAATAATGACTTGAGTGATGACGGTGGTAAGCAGAAGGGAAAAGGTTGGGACAAGTCTGTGGCAGTGGTGTTACAATTATGGTAAGTTTAGACACTCTGTGTAAGGGACTATTCCAAAAAGAAGGATAAATAGAAGGGTAAGATGAGAAGTAAAGCGAATGTGGTTATACGATCAAGTGATTTCCTTAATGAGATTTATTGAGAGTAAAACTAGTTGAAAGAGTGGAGGACAGATCTAGTGGTTAGAGGTGATGAAAGAGATGGATTTGCTTAATGGCTTGGTGGGAGAGATGGTTTGAGCAGAGGCTGAATCGACTAGGATCGAGCCTGTGGATGAGGAAGGTGGTTGTGGTTATGATGGATATTAGCGTTGGGGACTGGAATGTAGGTGGCGGGGGATGGGTTCCTATGTTTTGTTTATGGGGTAAGTGGGGTGGATGGGGTGTAAAGAAGACGATATTTTTTATTTTTTAATTGTTTAATGTGAAAAAATAGGAAAGTTACCATTTTACCTTTTTTAAGTTTGGTCAAAATCAAATTTCTTGTTCCACTAATGGTCAAATCCATCCATTTGACCTTGTGCTGCAACCAAATGAAAGATTTGAAATTGTAAGTGAATAAAGTGAAAGTTGAGGTAAAGTCCGAAAAAAATAAAAAATAAAAATTGAAATGTTTGGGACCGTCGCACTTACAATTAACCGTCGTTCCTCTCTCTCTCATACACCCCAGAAATCGTTGTTGCCACCTCCAAGGTCATAATCTATTCTTCCCACTGCGATCACCACCAAACAACTCCAGTAAATTTGTAAGTTGCATCATAACCAGTCACTCGTTTTACCTTTGTCCAGAGCCCCTCACCCAATTCTATCCCTCCAACGTCTACAACATTAGATCTATCACAAAGAATGCTTACTTTACCATGTGTTGGTTTTATAGTCACTTCATACACAATTGGTGCTCGCGATGTTGAAAAAAATTCCAACTTTGGGGGCCACACGTGTACATTTATTAGAATGTGTGGTGCTATTTTAAAGTAAATATAGTCGATAAAGTGATCCATTGGATTTAATTTTGGACTAATGGGTATTAAATTTTATGGGATTAAAGTGTAGAGACAAGAAGGTGTTATTTTGAATTGATGAGGGGCCGATTTGAAATAACTTAAAGTTAATAACTGCTAATTGCAGTTATTTTAAAAATGGTTATGGTCCCCAATTTGAACGTGATTCTTTTTATGGTATTTTTGCATCCCCATCAACAGAGACTTTTCAAGAAAACCAAAAGGAAGGAAAATCACGTATCAATTGGAAGATCAAAACCCAATTAAAGCAGTAAGATTCATGGATCAAGGTATGTTTCCGCACTTTTTTTGTTGTCTATTTGATTTCAACATGGAATTTATGATTTTATGAAAGGATTTTATGAATATGGTTCCTTTCAAATTTATGCAACAAGTGGTATCAGAGCCATCCATTGTTGAAATCTTTGAGAAATTGCAATAATTTAGTATTTTTTTTTTTGTTATTGTTATGGATCTTCCATGATGTTATGTGAAATTTAAATTTCTGCAATTTTTCTTTTTTTTTTTTTGAGATTTTCAAATTTAACTATTTGGATTCATTATTGTTGAATTTGAGAATTGTTTGGCATATTATTTATGGTTATAGATCTAGATCCAGTAAAAGGTTTTGAAATCTAAAGTTTTGAAATTTCATTGTTGTTTAAAAAAAAAAAAATTTAAACTGGATCTGGCCGGCGGTGACACTGGCTGCTGCATTTCGCGGTAGCGGCACGCTGCTGCAAAATGCAGCAGCGTGCAGGTAGCAGCCCCGGGTGCTGCTGCTGGTTGCATCAGCGCCCAGCGCTGTAAATGAGAGAGAGAGAGATGTCGGTAGATTTTTTGGGGGCGGGGGCCTGAGGTGCAATTTTTGTAATCTCAGGTCCTTACTTGCAATTTCTAATTAGGGTTTTAAAATTAAAATTTTAAATTCAGTCCCTAAACTTTGTTATCCATCCAAGTTGGACCTTAAGGTTATGGGTTTAATAATTCAACCCCTAGATTTTGGAAAATTATTTAATCTGGGCCATTAAACTTTTGAATTTTGCAATTAAAGTCCCCAAAGTTCATAATTAATTAAAATTAGCCCTTAAAGTTTTAAAATTTTTCAAATTTTGATCCCTAAAGTTTTGAATTATTAACCCTTAGGTCCCTAAACTTTCTAAAGGCATCTAATAATGCAAAATTAGTGATTCTCTCTCTATAATTTTGGTACTAAAGACTCCCTTAAGAGGAATAATTAAGATTTAATTATGTGGAATAATAAAATTCAAATATTTTGGTAATTTATTCATAATAAATTAAGGTTATCTAGCATTTTAAATAAACTAATTGAAACAATATATCACCAAAGTGACCTCTTTTGTGTAGATTGGTTTATTTGGATGTTTAGATGTGTGTGTTTCTTCATGCGGGTATTAGCCGGCCCAAAGGAAGGTTAATACTTGGCCGAATTACATACATAGTTGTGGTGGTGAATGTGTGACAATTATAAGGTTTCCATGTAAATAATAAATCAATCCAAAGATAGGTTTATTATTTGACAGGAGTTATTGTCAATGTTCGATCACTACACCGAGAGTACCACTTGCAATTAGTATTACTGTCCAAAGACTTGATATTAATTTTGCACTAGGTATCTTGAGATGGGGCTTACCATTATTTGAATTTATTGTTCATTAAATATGGATATGAGCATAATTAATTGTTTCTTTCTGTTCTCTCTACAGCTAGTTCATCTGCTACTACAATATCTGCTAATGTCAATTCAATTCCCATACTTAGTGGAACAAACTTCAAGGATTGGAAAGAGAACATATTGATTGTTCTTGGCTGCATGGATCTTGACCTTGCACTTCGGGTTGAGGAACCCACTCCTCTTACGGAAGAAAGTTCTCCTGATGAAAAGAGACACTTTGAGAGGTGGGATCGCTCAAATCGCATGAGTCTAATGATCATTAAGATCAGCATTTCAGAAGCCTTTAGAGGTGTAGTATCCGAAGGGATAACTAATGCCAAGGACTTTCTTGTCGAAATTGAGAAGTGTTTTGTGAAAAATGATAAGGTTGAAACAAGCATGCTTTTGCAAAGCTTGATTTCAATGAAGTACAAGGGCAAGGGAAATTTAAGGGAGTACATCATGGATATGTCTCATATTGCTTCAAAACTTAAAGGTCTAAAGCTCGAGCTATCTGATGACTTGCTCGTTCATTTGGTATTGATCTCGCTTCCTGCACAGTTCAGTCAATTTAAGGTCAGTTATAACTGTCAGAAGGAGAAATGGTCTTTAAATGAGCTCATTTCATATTGTGTGCAAGAGGAAGAAAGGTTGAAGCAAGAAAGAATTGAAAGTGCTCACTTGGCAAGCACTTCTAAGGATAAGGGCAAGAAAAAGAAGAAGGAATATGAAGCTGCTCCTAAGGGTCCAGCACAAAAGAAACGAAAGGAAGACAAAGATACTTGTTTCTTTTGCCATCAGTCTGGACATATGAAGAAGGACTGTGCCAAATATCACGCATGACGTACAAAGAAAGGTACATTTCTTACTTTGGTCTGTTCTGAGGATAATTTAGCTTCAGTACCTAGAAACACTTGGTGGATAGATTTTGGTGCTACTACTCATATAAGTGTTTCTATGCAGGGCTGCCTGAACTACCGAAAGCCAAGTGATGATGAAAGATACATCTATGTGGGTAATGGCAAATCGGTGGAAGTTGATGTAATAGGGACTTTTAGGTTGTTATTAAGAACTGGTTATTATTTGGATTTGAAAGACACTTTCGTTGTACCGTCTTTTAGACGGAATTTAATTTCTGTTTCTTCATTGGACAAATTAGGTTATTGTTGTTCATTTGAAAACAATCAGTTTAGTCTTTCTTTAAATTCCAATATTATTGGTACTGGTTCATTATCTACATATGATAACCTGTATTTGCTTGATATTATTGCATCATATAATGAGACCTTGCATGTGGAAAACAGACCAAAACAAGGAGATTAGGTGCTAAAAGAACTTCAGATGTCTTAGAATTGATACACACAGATATTTGTGGACCATTCCCTACAGCTTCTGGGAATGGCCAACAATATTTTGTATCATTCAATAGACGATTATTCACGTTATGGGTACCTATATCTCATACATTAAAAGTCTGAGTCACTGGACGTGTTCAAAGCTTTTAAAACTGAGGTTGAGAATCAACTTAACAAAAGGATAAAAAGCGTGAGGTCTGATCGTGGTGGTGAGTACTACGGCAGACATGACGGTTCAGGTGAACAATGTCCGGGATCATTTGCTAAATACCTAGAGGAATGTGGAATCATCCCACAATACACCATGCCAGGATCACCTAGCATGAATGGTGTAGCTGAAAGACGAAACAGAACTCTTAAGGACATGGTAAGGAGTATGATTAGTCATTCCATCTTACCAAAATCACTCTGGGGAGAAGCATTAAAGATTGCAGCTTATATTTTGAACAGAGTGCCAACTAAGGCTGCTGCTAAAACACCTTATGAACTTTGGACAGGCAGAAAACCTAGTCTAAAGCATTTTCACATTTGGGGATGTCCAGCTGAGGCTAGGCCTTATAGGCCACATGAAAAGAAATTGGACTCCAAAACAATTAGCAGCTATTTTATTGGCTATTCTGAGCGATCCAGGGGCTATAAATTTTATGATCCTACACTTAAGTCAATTTTTGAAACGGGAACCACAACATTTTTTTAGGATGTTGAGTTTGGGGAGAGAAATAAGGTTAGAGACATTGTCTTTGAGGAAGAAGTTGGGAAGGATTGGTTTCGATTCCTACTATTGCTTTTGACAATGTACAGGTTTCTATACCTGTTGTTGATCAAGAAGCATATCCAGAACCTCAACCAGACAATGTTGAAGTACCTCCCATCCAAAATGAGGTAATTATTCCATAAATACAAACTCAACAACCTCAAGAGCCAATACCATTAAGGAGATCCACGAGAGAGAGGAAAAGTACAATTTCAGATGATTTCATAGTATTTCTCCAAGAATATGAGGAAAATAATGGAATGGTGGGAGGTGATCCAATCAATTTCCATCAGGCCATGCAGGGTTCTAACTCTCAAAAGTGGATTGATGCCATGAATGAGGAGTATAAGTCTATGCAAGACAATAAAGTTTGGGATCTTGTCCCATTACCTGAAGGTGTGAAGCACATTGGTTGTAAATGGATTTTTAAAACCAAGAGGGATTCAAATGGTAATGTGGAAAGATATAAGGCTCGTCTTGTGGCTAAAGGCTTTACCCAAAAGGAAGGTATTGACTTCAAAGAGACTTTCTCTCCAGTTTCAACGAAAGACTCTTTAAGGACAATTATGGCACTTGTTGCGCACTTTGACCTTGAGTTACATCAGATGGATGTCAAGACGGCGTTTCTCAATGGCGACATTGATGAGACAATTTATATGGTGCAACCAGAAAACTTTGTGTCAGGAGACTTGAAGAACATGGTTTGCAAATTAAAGAAATCCATCTATGGGCTCAAGCAAGCTTCCCGTCAATGGTATCACAAATTTCATCAGGTCATTATCTCATTTGGTTTTGAGGTAAATGTCGTTGATGATTGTGTGTATCACAAGTTTAGTGGAAGTAAGCATATTTTCCTGATTTTGTATGTTGATGACATACTGCTTGCCACTAACGATATAGGCATGTTGCACGAAACCAAGAGATTTTTATCAAAGAATTTTGAGATGAAAGATCTTGGTGACGCCTCTTTTATATTAGGGATTCAGATACATCGGGATCGTTCTCGAGGTATTCTTGGACTATCACAAAAGAGCTATATCGATAAAGTACTTAAGAGGTTTGGCATGCAAGACTGTAAACCAGGTGACACCCCTGTCGCTAAGGGAGACAAATTTAGTCTCAAACAGTGCCCACAAAATGACCTTGAAGCTAAGGAAATGCAGAAGATTTCCTATGCATCAGCTATTGGGAGTCTAATGTATGCTCAAGTATGTACACGCCCAGACATAGCATTTATTGTTGGAATGCTAGGCAGATATTTAAGTAACCCTGGGATGGATCATTGGAAGGCAGCCAAAAGGGTTATGAGGTATCTAAAGAGAACAAAGGATTATATGCTCACATATAGCAGATCAGATCTGTTAGAGATCATAGGGTACTCCGATTCTGATTTTGCCGGATGCCAAGATAGTAGAAGATCCACATCAGGTTATATTTATCTGCTAGCTGGAGGAGCTATTTCCTGGAAGAGTGCCAAGCAGACACTCATAGCTTCTTCTACCATGGCAGCAGAGTTTGTAGCATGATATGAGGCATCTAATCATGGAATATGGCTGCGAAATTTTGTCACTGGACTGCGCATTCTGAATGGTATAGAAAGACCACTAAAGTCGTATTGTGACAACAACTCAGCAGTTCTATATTCTAACAACAACAGGAGCTCATCTAAATCAAAACATATTGACATTAAATTCCTGGTTGTGAAGGAAAGAGTACAGAGTGGACAGATTTCTATATAGCACATTGGAACAAACTCCATGATTGCGGATCCACTTACTAAGGGATTACCACCCAAGGTCTTTCATGAGCACACCGCTCATATGGGTGTTGTACTTTTTGAGGATATCATGTTTTAGTGGGAGTTTGTATTCTTATTGTTTTATATATGTTTAGTTCTTTGAACACATTTATGTATTTGGATATTTTCTGTCCAGAAATAAAGTATTCAGTTCATTCCACTTTGTTATTATGTTCAGTACTGATCTCACTTAAGAAATAAGGTTGGACCAGTTGGAAATAGACATGTTCGGATCACATAACATGTAATTTCCATGCTACACTCCCATAATTGATCTATGTCATTTGGTTGTATGGGTGTACGTGACCATTGATAGATTTAGTCAATGAATATCTGGTAGAAATTTTTGTCGGAAAATTTCCAACTATGGGACCACACATGTATATATATTAAAATGTGTAGTGCTAATTTTACGTTTAGTCGATAAAGTGATCCATTAAGTTTAATTTTGGACTAATGGGTATTAAATTTTATGGGATTAAAGTGTAGAGACCAGAAGGTGTTATTTTGAATTGATGAGGGACCGATTTGAAATAACTTAAAGTTAATAACTGCCAATAGCAGTTATTTTAAAAATGGTTATGGTCCCCAATTTGAACGTGATTCTTTTTATGGTATCTCTGCATCCCCATCAATAGAGACTTTTCAAGAAAACCAAAAGGAAGGAAAATCACGTATCAATTGGAAGATCAAAACCCAATTAAAGCAGTAAGATTCATGGATCAAGGTATGTTTCCGCACTTTTTTGTTGTCTCTTTGATTTCAATATGGAATTTATGATTTTATGAAAGGATTTTATGAATATGATTCCTTTCAAATTTATGCAACACGCGAAATCCCCCTTTCTGCCAAGCAAGAGTTATTCAGGTCGATGCATAATCTAGAATGGAGGCTCAATATCTGCAAGGTTTTTCATTGAGTATGTGTTTAGGGGAAGAAATTGGAGAAGGTGTGTAGAATGAATACTATAAAACATTGAAAATTATTTGTTCAAAGACCTTTTCTGGATTTATCTGTATTGGCAGTTGCCAACATTGGTGGTAGGTGGTGGTAAAGGGAATTGTGGTGGCGGTGTGGGCCGGTGGCAGTGTCTGGATGATTTCTGGGCTGGCGTAGGGAAGAATTTTCTTAATTAATTTTTTTTTTATGTGAAGAAATAGGAAAGTTACCCTTTTTACCCTTTTTTATTTGGTCAAAATCAAATCTCTTGATCAACTAACGATCAATTCCATCCATTTGTACTTGTGTTGCAACAAAACAAAAGGTTTGAATTTGTGGTTGACACAAAGCGAAGGTTGAAATAAAATTTGCAAAAAAGAAAAAGGTTTCAAACCGTAGCTGCATTCATCCCTAAAAACTAAGCCTGTTCAAAATTAAGTTCTTCTTTTGTTTTGTTTCTTTAAGAATCACTTTTCACTCACGTTTATGTTCTCAAAAATTCATTTTTAATATTTCTCGTAACTTTTTCTACTTCGTAACCATGAAAAAATAAAAATATAAAAAAAATTGCACTTCTTCCAATGTTCAAGGATTCTTGACAAACTAAATTCCATTAATAATGTTCCGGATAGCCAAAGAAGGATTTGGCCAGCCGAGGGAGCGTAAAATTGAATGTTGATGCCATTGTTCGTCGGGATGGAGCTGCTCATGGAATCAGCGGAATGATCAGAAACCATGATGGTCAAGTTCTCACTGCCTTCTCTAAATTTTTAATTTCAATCACATATATCATGGAACCGACAGCTTTTCAACAACATATTTCATCAAATTTTATCAAAATCTATTAAATATATTATTTTAATCCCCATCAAATAAGACCTTATTTTTGCAGTTTTATTCTGCATGAAGCAAATGAAATTGATCGTATTCTAGCTAAACATCGTGTGTTGCACTTTTCTGATTCGAAATGGTTTGGCTGATATTAATGAAATCTAGTCCTTATTAGAAAAAAAGAGAGTCATGACTGTCATGAATTGAGATAATTAACATTAATGGGCAACCTCTATTTATAGTGAGGCAAAATTAAAGCCTTTTGGTTTTTATTCAATGTGAAATTCATGTCAATAATGTAACGTATCGAAATAAACAAAGCTAAAGATGAGTGCAAATAACATACTTTTTTTGTCAACCGAGTACCAAGAACAGTCCCACAGCTCAAGAATACTGTCAAAGATTGTCAATAAGGTGGACAATATCAGAAAAGAAGAATAATACGAATCAAATGAGAAAAATGAGTTTTGCTCCAGAAGAAAAAATGAAAGCAAGTGCAAATCAATGCGAAAAGAATAGGACATACTGCTATGAATTGTCTAAGAACATTGATGTTATTTTTTGGTCGTGGTTCACTGGGGACGCAGGTATCTGCAGTTATTCTTCAGCAATTTAACGAGAACAAATTCGTTCCTCCATTGCTTATCAATTATCTAGCTGGTTTTTTGTACATTGATAGCCACTATTGTCATCCATATCTAACTGTCCATTTCTCTCACCAGATGTTTTGGTGCATATAGAGCAATCATTGCTATCCATATCCAACGGGCCATTTTTGTAATCAATCTGAATATTATATCTGGAGGAAGACGATCTTTCCGGAAGTCCATTTAGTCATAAGATAGCTTCTGGAAGTCTCGGTTTACTACTATTGTGGAGGAAGAGCTGTCTAGGTACGTTAAATTTATGGAGATTTGATACTACATCAGGTTGTGCCAATGTTAAGGATTCTGTTAATGCCAGCAAAGGTTCTACTAGAAAATTTTGATTTCCGCCATTTCTTTCCTTCTCTGTTCTCATTTCTTCTAATAAAGCTTCACTGGTTTCAATACCTGTTCAATTTTGATGACAAGTAAGATACCAGATTTTCTGTTCCGAGACATGATAGTTCTTAAAGACTACTTTCTCTGTATTGGAAAATTTCCAGTATATCGTATACCTGAAAGGTAGGCACCATGCACGTAGCCATTAAATTTTTTGTTTGTATGTTCCCCGGTGAAATATATCCGTCCAAGTGGTGCCTGAACAAAAAAATCATAAGAAAAACCAGGTAAGACATAAATATGGTGGCTCCACCTCTAAATTGCATTCCTCTGAACATCTTGTCATTGCTTATATATTCCACTAATTTCTTGCTTCTATCTTTTTTTCCTTAAGTTGTACTTCTGCTAAAGTAGGTGGATTCCTGCTACTTAAGTTAAATACTTATTTCTGATTAGAAGGTCAATAGGTCATTGTGTTAAGTGCATCATCAATTATATGAGTTTTTGAAGAGAAAAAGGCTAAGTGCTGTACACTTACAGCCCTCTCACAAAATGTGGAGCCCGTGATTATTTTAATTGCGGGCCCCACCCCCTAATGTGAGAGAGCTGTCATAATTGCTGTCAAAATAAGAGTAACTATAGCACGCTTGTTTTGAAGAATGGAAGTAAATTCAAACCTTAATATCATCTATGAGTTGATGATTAATGTGGATAGGATAATTGCTGTAGCTACCACGTTGGAAGCGATTGTTCCACCACCGTGGCACGAGTATGGTGATTGCATCTGGAATGTCAGGTCCAAACATCTTCCTTAGTACTTCCATTGCTTCTTTCATGGTTTGTTGATCTGATTGAGCTTCAACACGTTTTGATTCTCCATTTGTCAATGTTACGACAAGGATATTAGAACCTGGATAAGCATTCTCCATGTGCTGATAACATTGTAACAGATAAATAGTCATTTTTGTTTTTAATTTAATTGTGATTACTTGATAAGCTATACACAAACATGTTCTCGATAATACTGAATTCTCAGTCGCTATAGGGTATTATATGGCTGGAATGCATGATTATTAACTTAATTGATAGGTAATGACAATAGAATAAAATCCCATGAATCAGACAAAACGAGCTATTCGTAAGAATAAACATATTGGTTTTAGTTAGCTAAGGAATTTATAATCTTAAACATGGGACTATCATGATATGTCATTCTCTCACTACAGTGCAAAGAACAAGCTACTACTGGCCAACTATATATTGCTGGGGGTGACAGAACATAGAAAATTCATAACATAAAGAAAAATAAGCATATTTATTAAGAGTCCCTTCCAGCAACCTCATATAGGGGGCCGGTAATTGCGCTATATTTAGTAAAATGTGTGTAGATGTTGTGATTGACGTGGGATGATATTGATCTGATTGAGCTTCAACACGTTTTAATTCTCCATTTGTCAATGTTACGACAAGGATATTAGATCTTGGATAAGCATTCTCCATGTGCTGATAACATTGCAACAGATAAATAGTCATTTTGGATGGTATTTGCATATGTTGTTAGATAGTGACCATATAATTAATTCAATTCATATTATCAGAACTGTGAATGTAACAGTAAAAAGTATTAATCAACAATGTCTCATCAGTTAAGCAAAAAAACAAAGGTTGTCCAGAAAATTAAAAAAAAAAAAATTTATTAGCAATTAGAATAGCACCGATACTGCATCACTATATTTCATATACACCAATAAGAATACTGTAGGTTTGGAGTTCTTGAAGGGGATTGCTCAAATCTTATTCATGACTCAGCAATAGATTAAAGAAGTAATTGAACAATAATAACAAGAAGATCACGTGTCTAATTACGGAAGAGACATTTTACAGGCAAGGGTGGTTTAAAGGAGATGAGGTCGCTTTGGAGAACACCAATGCTAACAGACAAAATAATGTAATTGGCTTCGTAAATGCAGCCATCCTCGATTTTCACTGAAACTCCATTTCTTGAGTGCTCTAATTCCCGAACAACCTGCCCAAATTTATGAACGAGAAAACAAATCATCAATGTGCATTTATTCCCAGATACACTGTATGCACCTAACTAAATTCAGAACGTACAAAGTCCTAAGCAACTAGGACTTGGAGAGATTTTTAACAAGTCAAACAATGAAAATCTGTGCAAAAGATAACACTTTTTGTCTTGTTTGTCTTTTGTAATTATTAAAAAATGACAGTGATACATAAGACATGAGTGGAGTTATTTCAAATCTTGCTGACAGTTATAATGTGAGGTTCGATTTTTGAGACATGTAATTGAAATTCTTGTAGGCGCTGTGTACATGCAACTCTTGTTCCCTGGCCTGCTAGGGTACATTCCACGATTTACCTCACTCACAAAACTCTAGGGACAGAGCGGTGGAACCCTCAAGGTTGGATTTCAACCTTTTTGTCTTTTGTAATTATTTGTAAATCATTTGGTATGTTCACTTACATGACAATTTATGTGGGTCATGAAGATTACACAATGCATTATCACATAGTTAATCATTTACTATCACTGAACAAAAATAAAAAGCTAACCAGCCTTCTCCAAAAGCAGGTGTGGATGCAAACATTTAAAGTTAGAGGACACAATCAAATTTGAAAAAAGTTGTGAAGAATTTTTCATTGAAAAATTTATATCCAAAGAAATATAGCCCATGTAATTTTACATCTAAAAATTTACATGGGTATGATTTATTCAGATCTAAAATTTCAAAAAATTTAATGTCATATTCCAAGAAGAAAATTTTAATAAAATAATATAAATTATATTGAAATTTTGTATCGTAAAAAATAATAATAATTGAAAATTTTTAAAGAAAATACGAGTTATACGTCTCTTTTTAAGAAAAATGTTTGACACATCTTTATCTGTTTTCGATATTTGTTTGGACAATTCATATATCTATAATATAGTTCTCGAAATGAGTTTCAAAATGACATAGACGCTTTGTGGATTCAACTAGCGTACGATCGTTGGAGAATTTTTAAATTTAGCATGTCATCGAAATTCTCGAAATAATAGTTTGGAATGACCTATTTTGACAAGCTGTAACTTGCTACGATTGATCGTTCCAAACACTATTAAAAACGTAGAAAATTAAATCGTGAACACTTCGAAATGATATTAAGAACGTAATATTTCGATTTCATTTGATATCTCATAAGACCTTCTACATTTAAGACAAAAAACATAAAAATTTGCAATAACAAAAGTTGGGAGGCCACGTGACCCCCATGCCTACCCCTGTGTCTGCCCTTGTCCAAAAGTAAAGATATAAAATGGGTCAGACTGTCGAGTATTGGCTAAGGGTGTGGTTTTAAAAGAAAGTGACATAAACTAAAAAGTTATACAACACGGCATGACATGACATGATATGGGCCAAACATGCTAGTCGTCTTTGGACACGTCATTGAAACATCCCTATCTGTGGACCCCTAAAGTGAATTACACCAATCCAAACATCAATACAACAAAAATAAAGAAGAAAGAATGCATGAATACAAACCGACTGTTTCACTTTTTGTTACTTTTTCTGCTCTCTTTCTATACCCTATTTTGCTTCCATTTTATCTTATTATTGGAAATCTGTAATATTTGTTTTACGCGCAAGTGTTGAAAAATATTATATAAATACCTTGTTGAGTTTTAGGCGACTGTCCAAGATTTTACCCTCTGAGGTAAAAAGAAAGTTTTCTGCCATTTTATAAAGCAAGCACTCGTATCCTCTTTCATCAGCTACCAAGAATTCTCTCTCTCCAAATTCTACGTATGTTGATATTGGTTCAACTTCTGTGAAACGTAAACCATACCCAATTTTCAGATTAACATGAAATTAAACTTATTTTATTTTTTAACCAAAAAAAAAAAAAATTACTGTGAGATGTAGTGTGGCATGGTAAAATAAAAAATTGAATTGACCTGCCATTTCAAAGTCGTGCAGAATGAAGTCTATTGCCAGCTCAATTGGTGTCTTCGGAACTCTGCAGAAATCAGAAAATTCTATTAGGATGAATAACAGTTTTGATACGAATCATCAGCGATGTATTATGTGCTATGTCGCCTCGAAATGGAAAATGGGACAAGATATGACATGTAGAACAAATTAAACAAGAAAGAAATTATAGCCGGGTAGGGTCGGAGGGGTGAAGAAAGTGATAATACGTTGGTGTCTCAGCAAGGACTGAAACATCAGCATCACGATTAGAATCTTCGTTCCTCAGGTTCCTAATGGCGGTTTCCACGGCTTTCTTGTATGAATCCGATGCTATTCCACTCGGAAATATTTTTCCACTGCAAAAAGGAGGAGTCACCCAAAAAATTGATTCCAATAAATTAATAAATTAGTCCATTAATTAAGAAAGAAAATTCTGCTTTAACTAATTGAGTGTCACTGTCGACACAGAGCATTGCCTTATCAGATTGATTAAGATCAGAAAATTATCGAAATAGAAACTAACAAGATGTAACATACAATAATTGTATAATCTGTCAAACTCAAAACTGTTCCAACTAATTATTGATTCAAAAGGAGGTTCGTGGATCGTTGATTATTAGCTAACTAAAAGCAAATTAATTGGTAAATTACAACTCACTGCCAACCTGTCAATGTTAATCAAATTTAAATGCAAAATAGAAAAATAATGACCCAAAATCACTCTCAATCATGCATTAACTAAATGTGCAAATTTGTATGTGTGAGAATAATTTTCTAACAAAAATTATGGTAACATCCTCCAACAAAAGCAAAAGCCATGGCAAACGGATATTTTGTTAAACTGAATCTGCAAATGCGTATGTAAGAGAGAGATTAATGAATCACATATGAAGGAAAAATATAACCTGTCATCGTAAATGTTGTAACGTGCATTGCTGTAATCAGAGAAGCACGTACGGAGGTTCGATTGTCGAGCGAGTTCCCAGACTGGATTGGACTGTTTTCCGCCGACGCCGGCGATCCAACCGGCGCCAAGCTCCACAGTCACACCGCCGAACTCCTCCTTCCTTATTCTCCCTCCAATCCTATCCGCCGCCTCTAATATCACCACGTCTTTTACCCCATTCTCGGCAAGCAATTTGGCAGCCGAGATTCCTACAGATTTCGGCAAACGCAATTCAACTTACAAACAATACACGCGAAATTATACATCTCTATACCACACACACAAATATTCGTGAATACCTGAAATTCCAGCTCCGACGATGAGAACGGAGCATTGAGTCGTAGTCTCCATAAAGATTTTCAAAATTTACAGAGAGAGATTTTAGCTTTTGAGTTAGAGAGGAAGAATGATCGGTGGATTCGGTTAATATAGTTACACGATGCGCCTGTACCTCTCCTTCCTGCCGCTTTCGAGTTTTTGTCACATTCGGGATTAGATTTTTGGATTTTGGCAATTAAGCAAAATATATAAATGATATAAAGGCCTTGCTACTTGGCCAGGGCCCATGAAGCATTTTTGGTAATATAATAATTGGTACAAGTTTGAAAGTCAAACTTAAAATCCTACCAAGCATTTTACGAAATTGTTTTAATAAAATGAATCTTACGATATTGTATTTAAATTTATTTATTATTTAATAGTTGTCACTTAAATTGGTGCTTTACATTAATTGAAAGTAGTTGATCTTACGAAAAACTCGAGCAACAAAGTGACAGGTGGCACAAAAAATCAGTCATTGTCTGCTAATGAAGAACAATCTCGACTAGTGATGGCTCGGCTCGGTCCTTTAACCCAAGAGCTCGGCTCGGGCTCGTGGTTCGTGAAAGACGACCCACGAGCCGCTCACGAGCTCATAATTTTTTTAATTTTTTTTTTAGTAAATTTGCACATTTTGAACCTTTAAAAAAAATTCATATTTTTGACGAGCCCACGAGCCGTCAAAATGGCTTGTGGGTTGTGTGCCCACGAGCTACTCGTGGGCTCGACCAGGCTCCGCTCGTGGGATTACGAGCCACGTTTTGACGAGCCAACGAGCCGCTCAACCCGTTTAACATCCCTAATCTCGACCAAGAGATCTCCGTTTGGTCTCTCCCATATTTAATCTTACATTTTACTATACTTTTCCACGGGTCATGTCAATAATCAAAAATCTTGTGACTCATGTTCCCATTTGTATTATGTCCTGTGCGGCTGTGCGTAAGTGTTATGCTTTAGGTCCAATCAACTTTGGACATAATCACTTTAGCCCATGTTTAATTCCCATTACGTGGAAAAATTAATGGGGGGAATAGTAATTTTTTGAAAAATGAATGATTGAAAAAAAATAAAAAATTTTCGATTTACGTGTAATATTATTTTATGGAAGATTGTGTGGTTAAAAATATGAGAGAAAAAAATGAAATGTAACAGAATTTAATGTAATGGGGCTCAAATAAGGGCTTAATATATAATTAATGCAATTTTATGGCATATATATTATTTGATTAATATTCAATTAAATTAAATAATAGAGTTTGTAAATTCAAATTTTGCGTAATTTGTTAATCACAATGAGTTGAAAAATAAGAAAAAATAGTAATAGTTTTTAGCCCCCGTCTAGTCCCCATTTTTAAAAATGAAAATAGGTGGAATAGTTTTTTTTTTTTTTTAATGAAGGGTTGAAAAATAAGAAAAAATTTCGATTTACGTGTAATATTATTTTATGGAAGATTGTGTGATTGAAAATAGAAGAAAAAAAATGAAATGAATTTAATTTAATGAAATTCAAACGTTGGCTTAGTCTCAAATTATGGCAATAAAGACGTGCATGGGAAGCCAGCGTGTTGTGTCAAAATCAGCACGTGAATTGCATTTAAGCCGCGCAGTCGACGAAATGGGTAGAGATATTTGTGGGGTCAGCTAAAGATCCTGGCATTAATTAATCGTGTTCAATTGTTTATGTACGTGCAATATTAGGTTTCTAAATGAGTGTGAAGCCCAATAATTACTGAGTTACTATAAATACATATTTTTAGAATTATTTAAAAATTAAATAAATAATCCATCCAATTTTTAGTTTCAATGAAACCACAGCATTAGATCGTCTGAACGCATGTATAAAAAACTGTTGATCATGAAAAAATACTTGAAACAATCTTGGCTTGTAATGTATGGTGGAGATTCATTCTAATCGATCAATCCACCAGAGTTCTCTACTTCCTTGCAACATTCTAACCCTAGTCGGCTATTCCACAAGATTCTCTACTTCCTTCCTTAGTTTCTTTGTTGAGCTTGGCTACTTTTGTGTAGGAGTGGGGCGCGGTCCGGTTTGGATATTATAAAACCATTGGTTCCATAGCTAACTATGGAATGGAACCGGAACCAAACTAATCGATTTCGATTCGGTCCGATCCGGTTCTTTACATTGAAAGTGTCAAAATAAAATGTTCAATAATAAAAACTCCAAAAATACTACCAACGTGATATATTTAACAAAATATAGAAGAACTGAACATACTATTCAAAGATTTATTTAGGTATATATTTACAAAGTGAAAACAAAATAAAAATCATGTAATCAAAGTGAACGCAAAATAAAAATTTCGCATCTTATAAATGAAATTATATATTGTAAATAAATTTATTTAGGTATAGATTTACCCAATATTCTAAATTGACTTGAGAATCAATTAATTAAAGAATTATAAGAAGAAACAAGGAAAGAATCAAAGAGAAGAAGGAAAGTGCTAGAGTCTAAAATTAAGAAGGAATCCGATTATTTTTGATAAAAGTGTTGGAGATTGAGGCATATATTTTACCGAAAAAAATAAAAAAAATCCAATGAGAATCGTCTCGTTCCCGCGGTTCCCATACTAGAATTGGGAATCGGATCGGAACCGATCAGTTCTTAAAAATTTGTCCCGAAATCAAATTGTTTTTAGAAGATTTGGAACCGAACTGGCCAGTTCTAAACTATTCATGTCGATTCCACCGGTTATGGGAAAAAGTGTCCACTCCTACTTTGGTGATATTATTTTCCTGAATTATATAAGATTAAATAGCGAAGATCAAGTTCTTGACATCTAAAGCATCACCAAACACATTAGAAGCAAAGAAATTTCTGATATGAATACTAGAATGTGATAGGACAAGTAAAATTTGATCGAACAAGTTCACGATATTATATCTATTTATATTTAATTTCATAGTCAATCTTAAGACCGAGTAAAAGATAAGGATTATTGTGACTCATGGGCAGAGCTTAATTTATTTAGAATTAACTTAACTTTATGTTAATAGTTTAAAAAAAGTTTGTTTTTCAATGGTCACCAGTTCGAGTCCTCTCAAGGTCACTGAGATGAGTATCCTATTATAAATTTCAGGGTCTCGCGAGACTAGTTGAGGTACACATAAGTTGGCCGGAACATCCACAGTCATTAAAAAAAATTTTTTAAAAGAGTGACATGGTATGAAAGAATCTTGGATATAAAAATGTTTATTTTTTCCTCATTTAGTGTGTATTAGTTAGTCTATTTTGGTTGCATTATTATGGCTATTTAATTTGTGGTCCTTGTCTGTGCTTTGTGTTTTGTATTTTCTGTGTACCTTTTTCTGTTAATTGACTATAATATTTGTTTATGCATCTAAAACTTTCATGTAATGCATAGAAAAAGAAAGGACGTGCAATTTGAATGATGCTAGCATTCTTGTGGAATATATGTCTAATTCTTGATAAAAATTTAATGAAGTTAGTTCTCGATGTTGATATGTGGAATCTTTTATTTTATAATCTGTTAATTCATGGAAACTAGAAACCTACCACAATTTTATAAAGAATGATTATTTGTATCTCGAGAAGATATAAAGAACATGTCCAATATGACGTTGATAAAGAGATAAAGTTGGTAGCTGAATGAAACAGACAAGAACTCACAACCAGCAATTTGATGGTTATGACGAAACATATTTCCAGACGACGCATCTTGAGATTTTACACTTAAGTACAAACCATATCTGGTTTAGGTCCCGTTTGAGCCCCATTTGGAATAGTGCTTAATGGAGAATGTGTAGTTAAAAAAAAAAATTTTATTTGCGTGTAATATTATTTTAATGAAGAATGTATTGTTTAAAATGAGTACTGTAAAAAAATAATATGATAGAATGTGAGAAAATGGAGCTCAAACAGGGACTTAATCCTCTCTATTTTTGTTTTTTAAGGTTGCTTTATCATAAAAACATGTTTGACGCATTTATTAACAAAAGGAAAAAAATAAATTTATACTAAAAAATGAACATTTAAAATATATGGAGACACACACATATATATTAAGAAACTTAATATACCTAAAAAATAAAAATAAAATTATGAACGGGCATGAGAAGCTAGAATGTGTGACAAATCTTTCTTCAGCAATTAATTTAAATTAAATAAGCTGGCAGTTCAATCAGGCGCGGAGCCAGCACCCGGCGAGGGGGCGCGGCCGCGCGTGCTGGCTCCGCCGGAATCTTCAGTGGCCACAGGGTTGGCAGCAAGCTCCTGCGCGCAGCGATTGTAACCGGAGGAAGTGGAGAAGACAACCAGATTTTCCATTTTTCCTTTGGGCTAAAGTAACCGAAAATTGGGCCTATTTTTTCAAAAAAAAAAATTAGGCCCAAATGTGGATAGTGGATCCATTCAAACGGTCCATGGATATGGCTTTAATTGGTATTTCTCTCAAACCTTAATCCCCCAAAATCCATTTGCAGAACGGCACAGAAGGCGAAAACCCTTGGTCGGTTGGTCCCTCACCCAGTTACCCTTCAATTTCCATTTGAAGCTGTAGCACCAGTTGCAGCTGGAGGTGGTGACCGTGCGTCGCCGGTGTGCGAAGTCTTAGGGGTGAATCTCCGACCGGCGACAGACTCTGAGGCGACTGGCAAGGCCGAGCAGCCAGCAGTGTGCATTGGTGATTGGTGAGTTTAATAAGTCCAATACTTGAATTTGAAGAGTTGAATATTGAATTGTTTTAGTTGTCTCATGTCTGATTGTCTCATTTGTCTGTAAGACTGTAACTCTGCAAATTGTTTGGACAAACTTGACGTATTTTATTTGTTGATTTGTGCAATTGTGCTGGTGCAAGTGCAACTGCAATTTGTCTCGTGTATTTTTTGATTTAAAAATTATATTGGATGTTGGTACAAATTGTGTTTTGATAGAGACAATGATATTCAGTAGATTCTTCCCAAGTTAATTTGAACACTCTATCAAGATTGGCTGCTTAGTGTCATTAATGAAACTTTAATTTTGTATTATAGTATTGCAAAACTTGTGATTGTGCATATGTTTTAAATCTTTATAGTAATTATTTTTGGTTGCTTCAAAATTTCAAATGATATGAAAATCGAGTTTGAGATAAACAACGTATGTAGATCATGAAAAACAAACTTATGCTTCTGACATTCTAT